AGTACGTCGACACTTGAATATACCAAAGTCCGCACCTGGCATGGTACGCCCGCCTCAAGGTAAACCAGCATCGCTACAAACCACAGACCGCTCGCCATGATTAAAATAGTTAGGAAAGACTGAACCGAGCCCAAATGAGCACAGGGATAGTGCATTATACGCTCCATTGCATACTTCGGCCTTCCGATTAAATAACGTAAAGGTCAACCACAGCGCGATCGGATTACAGCAAGAAGATTAGTAGTGGTCTGGGCGCTCGCATTTGGACCAGTACCACAGGCAGCAAGCTGTAAGAGGATGTCGGGGCAGCGATAACCCAGTCGGAAGGCAACAGAGGATCCGTACATACCTTGATAAACCGCTTCGCTTTCGTGAGCAGTCCTAGTGTAGTGTGTCGGGAGGCTTCTGGTCCCAGCGGCACCATCTCTTTCAGCTTCTCCAAGCAGTTGCGTAGATGGGCTCGCCTGAAACACCGTTCATGTTATTAACCTGGAGAAAAGAACACGAAACGGCAATGCGTCTGTTTTCCCAGAAACGGAGCTCGTAAATTTATACTGCTGCAGATCCAGTGCCTAATACAAGGAGAAACACCAATACATGCTATTAACAAATCACCATTCGCGAGGAAAATTGAAGCATCATAAACTGAACTCACACTAAATGGTCGTTAAACGAGGATGAAATGATGGGCGGGGTATGTTGCACGCAGAGGCTATGAGAAATTCATAGAACACTTAGTGGAAAACCCCGAAGAGAACCACTTGTAATGAGTAGGTATAGATGGGAGGATATTGTTAAAATGAATCATTATATACGTGGGTATGAGAACGTGGACTGAATTCGTCTGGTTCTTATAGGGTCGAACAAAGGGTTTCTTTGAAAACATGGTAATGAGCACTGGGATTCCACAAAATGCGGTGAATTTTAGACTCAATAATCATTACTTTCTCACGAATGTCTCTGCTAATCTGCAACCCCTACATTCAATTTATCATTATACGCACATTGAAAAAAATGAGAAGATAAATGAACAGAGTCGAGTATTACAACAACCACGTATTACTCATCTGGCACTACTTTCAGAACGTCGTTATGGAAAAGTTATCTGCGCTGTAATCATATCGAACCGAGTCTACGGGGTCGATTAACCAGATAGACCAACTTGGGAGTACGTTATTATGTTGCACTCCACTCATCTGTATTTCAGCCACAGCTACCTTCAAAGCAACTCCTGTAGCCTGTTCACGTTTCTTCACAGCAGTAGGCATACCCGGTTCGCCCCTTCCCTGCCTTCCCTGACAACAGACCCCTTATTATACTGAGCGATCCGGTACACTTCCCGTACGAAATGAATACTTAATACATAATAACTCAACCTTGTAGACCCTCTCCCACTGAAGACAATGCACCTACTTCTTGAGAACAATTTCTTTTGTACTCTTTCCAAAATCCAGCCGTCACAGAAACAATTACAGGGCATTAGTGTTGGCGTTTCATTGTCCTGTGAGCAGTCCGCGTGTAGTACAGCATTCAGTTTTCAGTCTCTAGTAAGTGAGCCGGCTACCAGGCGGACTTCGTCGCCAGATAACGTGCTTCGTCCATCGCTTTTGACGACCGAAGCAAGCAGCACTAGTTCGCCTAACATTTTGTATAGTAGTCGCATGATACGGTATCATGAGCCTACAAGGTATAAAGACGAAATTAATCCTTGACTTAACTAATCAAGCTCTATGCCATGAAGACGTGTGGGGGTATAGTTCCACCATTCTTCACCTCGGCACTAGATGCACATGAGTGGTCAGTTTCACGGCCTTGCCGTTTTACCCCCGGAGAAACAGCCCCTGGTGTCAACTGCATAGGAAGATACGTGGGCCCCAGGGCCGGTATGGACTTAAGGAAAAGAGAAAATCTCTCGGCTCCATAGGGAATTCAACTCACCCTCCTTCATCGTCCAGCCAGTATATCCCGACCCCATTTATACGCTCGTTCTATTACTTATTTCTGTGGTAACGCATGGTAGTAAGTTTTATAAGCACAAAACCTATCGCTCAGCGGAATAAAACGTGTAAGGTTGCCTAGGGACGAAACATCGGTGGGCAAAGATCGTTTTATGAATTTTACAGCATATGATATCACCTACCGACTACTAGGCAGAAGACTGAAAGAAACGGGACAAGGGGAGGAATACACCGTGTAGATAAACTAATACTTATAATGCACGTTGAAAATGGAACGGAAAATTTCATTTGTTATAAAACTGTTAACGATATTGTCACTGATTATGCATAAATATAAAGCAACATAAATTCCATTGATATTTCAACGGTAAGGGTGAAAAAAGGAAAAGCTGTCCCTGTACTTACTAATTAAGCACTACGCTATGAAGACGTATGGGGGAGTAGATGTATAGACCCACGTTATCTTGTCCTCGCCACTAATTTGAGGTGAATGGTCAGCTTCACGCCCTTGCCGCTTTATCCCCGGGGAAAGAACCAGAGGTACCCATTGGATAAGAGGATGGGTGGACCCCAGAGCCGATCTGGACGACGTGGAGAACTAAAAATTCTTGATATTTCAATGGTGAATTATTAAAAACAACTTTCGTCAACAATAATTAACCTCTATTAAGTCGGAGGTTGTTGAATGACAGCTGAAATGATACTACAATTCCGCAGTTGCTAGAATAATAATATTCAATAAGCGATGCTATGTAAGAAAAATATCTTCGGCAAAGGCTGGCTACAGAACAAATTTTAACAAAACAAATAACCTCTCTATTTCTTTTATATAGAACATCACAATAAACCTTGTCTGTCTAATCATTAACCATGTATAGTCCATTCGCGGAGACGAGAGAGTCCTCGTAAACAAATATACGCGGTATCTCCTTCGCTCATTGAATGAAATCATGCAGCGATCACGTGATGCGTGTACCGTTGCAGGGGCGTCCAAAGTTCACTCTTCAGTCTTGACTGCAAGGTTAACGTGCGTCCGAATGCAGTGAGTACACTGAAGTAACTGCGCGCTTTGCCCACTCCTTGCTGTCAGCTGTGGCAACGCGGGGCTTGCTTTGTTTGCGCTGTCTCGTCTCCGCGAATGGACTATAGATACACTTCCTTCCGTCATTACTTCACCTAACAGTCGGAGATTGAATGACCTCACCATCTGATGCAACCCAGACGAGACAATTCATAAATTGAAATAGCAGGTTATTATTTCGACATGACCAACACATGCTCCATTCCTACACAGATCTTGCAGTCTTTCCTTGTGTTGCTAACACGCAGTTGCACTTTACTGTGGCAGATCTCGAACGCAACAATTGGGCGGAGCCTTGGAAGCGTGCAATTCCCAACCTCAGCGGCAGTTCCATACACAACCGTCCCAACGTTCCACTCTTCTGCATTAAATTACAATTTTACTGAATATGCACGATATTACGAACGACAACTGGATACAATAACTACACTTGTTAGAGGTACGGTTCATTCTCCGTCCAGGTTTGCCTTAAAAAAACTGCGCTGAAACAGTGCACTTGCTTATTCATTACGACAGTCTTATAAACAAGACAAGATAATTCATATCTCAATATACTCACTTAATCCGCTCCTACTATACATTTGCGGTGTCGAGGTTGTCTTTATTTTTCATTTTGAACATTTTAGAGACGGTAGGACTCCTTGGGCGAGTGATCAGCTCGTCGCAAGGCCTCTACCCGAACATAGAACAACAAAAACACAGAATGAACACATACACATACCAAACATCCATGCCTTGTGTGCGTTTCGAACCCACGATCCCGGCTTCCGAACGAGCGGAGACCTCCTCGGCTACCGTGACCGGCTTAAAATTTTAAATTCGCATAGTGGGGGGTGAACTCCAGTTGGGTCCACTCCGCACGTCGGTCACTGATTGACCTACTGCACCTGCCCCGGCTGATTATGATGACGGAGAATTTGGTGGAATGAAGATTAGCAGGAGAAAACCTGCCTCAGCGACACTTTGTCCACCACAAATTCCACTTGACCAGACCCGGGCTTGAACGCGGACCGTCGCGGTGGGAAGCCAAAGACTAACTCGCTTGCCGTGACCGGTTTTCTCAATATAACACAAAGAAAAAAACTTTACTTGCAACTATCTTCTAATATATAACTAGGAACCTTTTCAGATTCAATGCGATACAATTACAACTCGAAGCTTTAAAAGCAAAGGGAAAGACCGCAGTAAATAACGCATACAGAAGCCGTCGTTTTCTTAGTACTTGAGTATATTCAACCTCCAGGACAAACACAGAGAGTACCTGTTTCGGGCTTGCGCAGGTGAGCCTTGTGGGGAAACAGCGTGGATGCATGTTGAAACTCTCTATTCCTGTATTGTATTCAGCTAGTTTACTTTCAGAACACTTAAAGCTGCATCAGGTGATACAGATATCGGAAGAGGCCTATCAGTATTTATGGAGCGATAAGAGTATAATCATCTGTACACATATTCTTTTGTCCGAAAGGCAACAATAAGACAACGCGATGTTTCTTTGAATCGTGAGTCTACAAGACAACATCCGGGAAGTCACTGTAGACTGCGTTACGGGCCGACACGGTACACCGCTTGGCGACAGCACCTATAATTCTTCAACATGAAAGAAAATATGATTACAGTCATTATACATAACTGACAGCATAAAGTATTGACTCTTCCCGAGGAATTCATGCTATCGTATTTCTACAACGAAGCTGGAGAACAACACTTTTGACGTCGGCGCTGCGAGACGAGGGAGAACTGGTGAACATTTATCCCAGAGAATATCTCAAATATCTAGCCGCATTTTCTAGAGTTCTAGACCACAGTTCCTACTACATAGTGCAAGCACGTGTTAAACGAAGTTCGCTTGAAGTGGTGTATTTTAGGCTTCA